CCAGTGGATTTTGGTTTGGTTTTGGGGGAGGTTAGGTGTCCTGCCCCTAGAAAATAACTATCCAGGGCGTTTTTGTATGTTGTTTCCCTCCATTTTTAAAGTGTCTGTGTCCTGTGAAGCATTTACATGAACATTAGATTTATTTGGAAAGTTTTTGGTACTGGAAATGTTAGACTCTTAATTTCATCCTGTGAATGAAAAGTTTAACTGTTCTAAAACGTTAAAAAGGAAGGGCCCCGAGAGCATCACCCAGTGCTTGTTTATACCCAGTAGAAAATGATCAAATATAATTCCCGAAGTGTCTAGAAGCCAGGAGGGAAATGGGGAGTGGGCAAAATCGCTGCTTATTTATTTAGATTTAACGTTTTTAAAAGAACGGCCATACAAAAGCTCTGCTGGAAGCTGGACTTTCAATAATAACATCAGTGATTCAACAATGTGACCATTTACTGGAATCAACAAAAGACGGGACAGCTGAACTGGGAATGTTGTCAATTTTTAAAAGCATTGCTCCCCTCTCCACCCAGCTCAGAATCCATCAAGTGTGGGGTTAACCCATTCAGATTGCTTTGGTCCAAACTTTAATTGAAGGAAAATCCACTAAGTTGGTAAATGACTATTGCTGTCTAAAGTAGAATCGGGACTCGGTTATTATGTTCTGGTGTTTCACTTAAAGCTATTCATTCATTTTGGACAAGATCGGGGATTAAATATGCTTGCACAGTGGATCACACTGTGAGTGTGTTGTTTCATTTCATAAAGCTTTCATGTGTTTTCTTTCCCCCCAGTGGGTGTTTTTCTGTTGAGGGGAAATCCCACCAGTCCTGGTTTGTAGGGCCCGCAGTTAGGATAAAAGGGCGTTTTACTTGTAAACTGAGCAAATGTGATCTGGAAATCACCGAGATGCAATAAATAAGGAACCCCACCATGCCGTTTTTCAGAGCAGAACCGACCTTGAAGTAGTATCATTGATACATGGGAGCTGGTTGAATCAACCCTGTCACATACATTACTATCTGTGTGCACTCTGCTGTCAGGAAACATACACACGAGTCGGCATCCATCAGAAGTGTGTGTGTGGATCACAGAAAAGGGATCACTGACAGGGAACATAGCAGAAGTTCGACCATGGAGCAAGTATGTTCCTGCTCTGCCCTCCGTCCTCACATTACCTCAAATGGCCAGTGCATGCTAATCCCGCCAAAGGCGTCTTTGACATGACTGTCACTCATTGGACTGATCCTGGTCCCACTGACTTGAGTGGCAGCAAAATTGGGGCCTTTGATGTCCACAGCAAGCCCCTCATCTCCTGTATTTCAGCCAGTCGTGATCCCTAGCTGGGCCAGGCATTCCGTTCTGTGGTTCTGGGTTGCTGAAGGAGGAAAGGCAATCACTTCGCTGCTTGCCCTTGGCTCCTGCCTTTGCGCTGACATTCGGTTGAAGTCAGGGCTAAATTGTTCCATCTGGTAGCCCAGGATATAGGTTCTGTCAGACAGACCTGGCATGTTTTGCAGCAGCTCCAGACCAGTTCAGAAGACAGCCCCTCCCCCTTGACTGAACTTCCCACAAGCATAACATTAACGAAAACAATATTTTGTGACCCTCCTTTATAACTTCATTCTACTGAGCTTTTTGGGGGACGGGGGAGAGGGAGACAGTTTTGTTCCTCTTATTTGAAATAGACGGGAGAATGAACAGTCACTACCAAAACCGCAGTAATACGCAGAACCGGAAAAATGTGGAAACTGTTGTAAGCAAAATGTATGCTGCTGAGAATTGAATTATGGGGAAAGGGCCGTACTTTTATACTGTCAGCAGTGGGGCTTGTTGAACTTTTCTTTCCCCTTTGGTTTTATTTGAGTCTCATGGCACCAGTATACAATTCTCAGCATGATGTTAGAACACAGGTTTTAGATTTTCTCCATGGCCATATGGCTAAAATGGACAGGGATGTATCTTCTTGGGAGGGGAAATCTGCAACAATCCAACCATTGACAGAACTGGCAAGTTACGTCTGTGATCACTTGTAGGGAATCCTAACTCATACATCTTTGGGCTGTGATCTTGTAAAATCATACAAGCATAAACTGGGTTGGGACTGTTCTGTACTTGGAGGCCTTTCATCCAAGATAAACCTAAGAAGTAGTGTGGGTGATTTAGGCCCTGGTTCAGCAAAGCATTTAAGCATCTTTTACTTCAACTTGCATAATTAAAGTTAAGCATGTGCTTCAGTGCTTTTCTGAATCCGTAACAAAGTGATGCCCCAGCAAAGTGTCTCTGGGGGCATTGTACTGCTGGATTGTGTATGTGTAAGCCCAGGTCTACACTAGTGGGGGAGGGGGAGGTGTCGATCTAAAATATGCAACTTCAGCTACGTGAATAGCTTAGCTGAAGTCGGTGTATCTTAGGTTGACTTATCTGGCTGTGAGGGCAGCGGCGAGTCGACCGCTGCCGCTCCCCCGTCGACTTCGCTTCCGCCTCTCGCGAGCTGGAGTTCCAGAGTCGACGGGGAGCGCGATCGGGGATCGTTTTTGTCGCATCTACACTAGACATGATAAATCGACCCCCCCAATAGGCTGATCACTACCCGCCGCTCCGGCAGGTAGTGAAGACGTGCCCTAAGAGAGAATATGTGTGTGTGTGTGTGTGTGTGTGTGTGTGTGTGTGTGTGTGTGTGTGTGTGAGAGAGAGAGAGAGAGAGAGTGTGTGTGTTTCTGTACTGGAACTGGTTTTTGATGAAAAACAAAAAAAAATTATAATGGAAAAATGCCAACCACCTCTAATATTCTATATTCGATCTATATGAGAGAGCAAGGGAGAGCATGTAGTTAGTCACATGCTTTGAGACTCTTCAGGATGAGAGGAGCCCTGTAACGGGCAGGTGGTAGTTAATTGTTACTTGTCCACACTAATGGTATATAATGGGTTTGAGCCCATAGCATTCAGGCTCAAAGAAACAGACCCTCCTTTCCACTGGAGTCTAAAGCTTTGGAATATGACCCTGTTCACTAGAAAGTTGTATTTCCGTCTGCTAGGAGTAATTCCTAGGAGCGTTCCACCTAATCCCCACCCATTCTCAACCTGTGCTAGCTCGTTTGAGGAGCTGCACCCAGCTTGTTCCGAGCTGTCTGTGGAGATGTATCTACGTACCTTCTTATATATGCCCTGTAAAAGAGGATTGGGAGGCTGGACATAAGTGAACCAGATTCAAACACAAAATTGCCCTGCCTACAAAATCAGGATCAGTTTAGCAGCAGTCTCCCTGTTCCTGACTAAACCCAGAAGACATTGGGCCAGTTCTGCTTTCTTCCCCCTCCCCTTCAGAGGTTAAATCGTGTCTGGTAAATTTAGCATTCACTGTCTCTGTTCTCCCTCTGATACCCGAAAATGAGACGTCCTTCTGGCACTATAGACTGTTCCACTGATGCAAGTCTGTGCGTAAGAGTCCATGTGCTTTTGCATGACTCTCTCTTGCAAATCTGTGACTTTAATTGGTTCAGCACATACTTGGAATTTACTTTGCACAATTTTAATTTTTTAGTGTAAAAACCAAAAATGTAATGACAGTATTGTCCTTTAGTGCTTTCTCCAAACATCTGGAGTGCATTTTCAATTATGTTAAAATTTATAAATTGCTAACAAATGTAGTTCTGACAATATATCTATAATATAGGAAGAATTTAAATTTCCATTTCTTGCAATGTGAGGTCCCGGTCCTACATACACTTATACAGATGCATACTTTTGCTCATGTGAGTAAATTTACACGCATGTATATGTTTTTAGGATTGGGCCCTTATGTTTTGCAAAAGAGGTGGATCTCAGAAATCTTGAACCAATTGAATCCTATCCAGCTCCGTCAGCTGCCTCTAATGTAAATGTGGGAAACTCCAGGGATGACGTAACATGTTCCCCCCCCCTCCCCCACAAAGAAAATCAGTGATAGAAAGTTATTGACAATCATTTATTGTGCAACACGCTGAAGATGCTGGAAACGGAATAACGACAGTCATTGAAATCTCCTTCAACCTTGCAGTAAAACACAGTTGTTAACAATGAGTTAATTTTTTTCTGCTCTGTGCATGTGGCTCAAGTTTCCATGTCGGTTTTGCTTTTGATTTTGTCAAGCCCAGATTTATAGACACACGACTGTGAATTAGTCTCTCGTTTCCATGTAACCTTACGGTCAGCCGCTGAAATGTATTCCCCAGTTAACAGTGGGTTAAATAAAACACCTTACCGACGCAGAGCAGTGTGCGTATGAGGGCTGAACTATGGCAGTGCCTTCTGCTTTGTACACAATGAAAGCAATATCTGCTCTTCCTGCCGGAAAGCTTCCTCGTGAGGGGAGATTTTTACTATCTTTAAAAAACAGAACACCAATTTAAGTCTGCTTTGTCTGAAAACCATACTCCACCCTGGTCTCGCGTGTTACCGCTTCTCTGTCTAGCTGCATTCTCACTGTGGCACACAGCCACCAGCCGTTCTCTTTAAAGAGGGAGAAATAAACAGCTGGTGCGTACAGTAGGTTAGCTTTCCTAGTGATTCTTATCCTCTGGATTTCAGGAGCAGGTATGTAACCCAAACCTCAGCTTGGGAGCAGCCCATTAAGTGAATCCTATGCTAAGCTACTTAAATTTGAAACGCAGAGATGTATCACGAATGCACCAGAGGCCGTCATGTAAAACTAAGGTATTTTCTGTGCAGTGGGCACAAAAATGAATGTCTGCCAGTGTAGATCAATATGAAACAATCTCTTTTATTGGGTGGCTGCCCAGGCCTTCTGCTGCAACAGTAAATCTAATTGGTTGCTTCCTCTTACCATGCGCAGCTTCATGTGGGAAATGCCCTTTTTATCTACAATGGCTGACTGCACTATGCCGCACTGTCAGTAGCTGCAGATTTCCTGTTAAAATGAACACAGTTGTTTCTTGAAGCTAGAGTTTGGCAAGGGGGAGATTGGATTGTTTTAGCTGATTCTATTTTTCTTTTTCCTACAGGTTGCTGAAAAGTGCCTTTCCTGAAGCCACTGCTGCTTGGATTTCTGTCTAAGGCTGCCTCTCTCTCCCCCTCCCAACCCCCCCCTTTTTTTTTAATTTGGCGTTGCTTGCAGTTCATACCCTAACGGCAACTCATCCATCCCCGCCCCCCCTTTTTCCTTTTTACACTCTGTTCACTCAGCCATTTTTTTTCCTTCCCGAGTATGTAGCAAATATTTTTGAGTGATAACATCCTTTCGCTCCTTTTAATACTCGCGAATTGTCATTTTTAGAACCAAGAAATAAAAGGGGAAAAAAAAAAGTTTTCTGCCCAAGGACCGAGACCATTCCGCAAACAGAAGCGCTGCCAGCCGCATATGCTTTTTGCAAGAATAATTGAAACCATTAACTGGAGAGCACAGAATTCTTTTGAAAGTCTGCCAGTTATTTTCAAGTAACTTTGGCAGTGGCACAAAATATAACACTTATATTTTAACTTCTACAATTGCACTTTTAGGAGCTGGCCTCTCATTTGATTTTCAGTTATTCTGATAAGATTTCTATTTTATGATTGGCTTTATGTTTAATTCTTGTTGAAACAAACACAATTTGACTTAAATGAAAACCTAAGTGCTGACGAATAGAAATTTTACCAAAGCAACAAGTTCGTTATTTCTTCACATTTAACTTGAATTCACTTTTTTACCCTTTTTAAAAAAACAGCAGTAACATTGTCCTAAAGAAGGGTGTGATTGCTTGCGTTTTAATTTTTGTTTTTAATATGGCTGTAAACGTTTCCCTGGTTCGTGATACAAAATGGCTGACTTTAGAAGTATGTCGAGAATTTCAGAGAGGTACTTGTTCTCGATCTGATGCAGAGTGCAAGTTTGCCCATCCGTCACGGAGTTGCCATGTGGAAAATGGTCGAGTTATTGCCTGCTTTGACTCTCTAAAGGTGAGGACTGTCTAACACATGCATTGCTTAATCTCACTTTGCTGTCATTCTCTTCCTGAATCATTTCAAGTGGGTGGAATATGAGAGATGAGTATAACAAGTATTTTTCTGCAGGAAGGATGTTGTTTGTGTAGAATATAGCCCCTAAAATCTAGTTTAGTTAATATTTAGCACCCCACAATTGTTTCATTCAGCCTGATTCAGACACTGGAAGTATCAGGAAGTTTCCTGTGAATGATACCAGCAGTGTTGGTAGAGACAGGGAAAACTTTAACTCTGCCACAATTATGTTTTGTATTCAGTTTTGACATCTGGTACAAATGTACAGAATATTGAACATCGAAGAGAGAGCACATTATGTAGAGCGTTTTGAGATTGTAGGTCATGGCTATGCCTGAAATGGAGAACTCGGGTTACAGACCGTAAATGAAAGTGAAATGAGAAAAGCAGAGATCCAAAACTGAGCCCCCTAGAACAGCAAAACTTTTAACTTGTGTCCAGAGCATGCTGGCTTTGAATTCAGGACAGGTCTCTGAAATGTGCTGTTAAATAAAGACACCATTTTCAATAATTGATCAGTCTCCGCTGTATTTGCCTGCATCAGGGTGCAGATACACTGCACCAAATATGTTATAGGCAGCCAAAATATTTGGAGAGTGCTGCCTAGAGAAAGTTGGGGATAGGAGGAGATTTCAAGTGATGTGAAAAGATGCAGAGTGTGAAAATCATATGTGAGTTAATGAGCTAAATCTTCTGCTAGTGATCATTCCTGAGAGTTCAATTTCACAGGAAGTAAATGCTGCTTTATTCCTTGTCACAGTTAAAGTTCATTGGGAAACTTTTTAAAGTTTACAAAATTACCAGATTCTTTCCAGCAACGGAGACAACAGAAAAATCATTCTAATTCACCCATTGAAAGCCTAAGCAAAATTTTTTCAAAAGTGACTAGTGATTTTGAGTGCATCAAGTCCGAGGTGCCTACTCTGAGACATAGAAGGGACCACCATGATCATCTCGTCTGACCTCCAGCCCTCACAGGCCACAGAATCTCGCCCACCCACTCCTGTAATAGGCCCATAACTTCTGGCTGAGTTACTGATGTCCTCAAATCATGATTTAAAGACTGCAAGTTATAGGGAATCCACCATTTACTCTAGTTCAAACCAGCAAGTGACCTGTGCCCCATGCTGCAGAGGAAGGCGAAAACACACCAGGGTCTCTGCCCATCTGATCTGGGAGAAAATTCCATCCTGACCCTAAATACAGCAATCAGTTAGACCCTGAGCATGTGGGCAAGACCAGCAGTCAGGCACCTGGGAAAGAATTCTCTGTAGTAACTCAAAGCCCTCCCCTTCTAGTGTCCCATCTCAGGTCATTGAAGATGCTTGCTTATAGCAGTCACGGAGGGGCCAGATACCATTGTAGGCAACTTTGTCACACCCTTCCCTCCATCAACATCCCATCCCCTCCATAACATCTTAAAGGGGTGTCTGATTTTTCAGAGGGCACTTTCTGAATAGTGATCTCCCTTTAGGGTGTCTGAAGTTGGGCCTGGATAAAACGGAGACACTCAAAATCACTACTTATGCTTGTAGTACTAAAGTAGGATACGTTTCCTGTTGTCTGAATTGCTAGAAAGAATCTGATAATTTTGTGATCTTAAAAATTTCCCATTGAACGTGGAGTTTTTCTTGAAAATCCTTGGCTTTATTTTAAATTTCGGGCACAATAGTTAGATGAACTAGTGAAAAAAAGACCATGTCCAGGTCCCGTTTGACAGAGTCTAACCCGTATTATTACACTTTTTACCTTCCTAGCTTTTTCCTGTTTGTTCCATGTTGATAGGAAGTTCAGACATCCAAGTTGCATTTAGCTTTGTTCTTGTTAATCCAAGTTCATCAGATGATTCCTTAGTTATATAACGCTGTTCAAATGTTCATTTACATTACTCACCTGCTAACAGTGATAGACTGAAATATATTTTTATCAGCAAAGAAAAAAGTTAATGTTCCTTGTGCCCTTGAATCTTTTGAACTGCAGCCAGTGGTGAGACAAATATTTTGGATAAAGAGATTAATATGTTTACTTTAAATTGTATAACATTCACTTGTTAGCTAAAAGGAGTACAGTAAATATGCGGTGTGATAGTCCAATATATCATTTACTGGACCATGGGAGAGAGCTGCAGAAGTAGATTTTAGTTTGGAGCGCCCCACAAACAGTCTAACCGCTCTGTCTGGCTCTGTTACTTAACGCCCATAAATTGCCTTGTAGGCAGGGCTAACTAAAGTGATGTGCAGTACATAATGCTTCACTCTCTTTGTGGGTTACAACTCAGTAAGGAGCTCCTGACAAGCACCCAGGCTTCTGCCCTAGGCAGTTCTCTGCAGAGCTGGACTCAAGGAATGAAGTGTGCAGATCCCCATGTGCACTGGTTGGCTCAGGTTCAAATCTCACCCATTGGCAATAACACATGGCTGCAATTAACCACGGGGGGGAAGTCAGGGAACATCCAGTTTGGAAGAGAAAAGAGATATCGAAGTTGTTGTTGAAAGGGGTCAGCTACTTGCTTAAGCTGCCTGCTCAGCATGTATTTCATCTGTTTTGTTATGTGTAATTAGGTGATGAATAAATTTACACACTCATTACAGCCTGGCCTTCGATATAGAAGCACGTGCTCTGTACAGACCGTTTAAGTGGCAGGAAAACAGAGTCTGAGTGGGAAGTTTTCCCTGGACTGCTCTGATTGGATCCATTGCATCGCAATGGGCCCGTTTGCTTCATCCCACAGAGAGGAAACCGCAGGAGAGGAGTAGCAATGTTAGACCCCAAGTGCCGCCAATCCCACAAATTCCAGAATCATCCATCAGGCCCTAAAAATTGTGCGATCGGCTTTGAAATCAGGCAGCTTTTAAACAGTAATCAGTGTGGGGTCCATTTGATTTGCTCTCTGGGTTTTGAGTCTTTCGGGTCAGGTTTCCAAGTGTTTCTCGACAGCTGCGAGGGCTGGAAACTTATTTTTTAAGAAACGCACCAACTCTCCTGAGACTCGTGATGATCTTGTGAGATGTGGCAATGCTGGGCCCCTGGGAATCTGGACCTCATTGTGTGAGGGGCTGTAGAAATAAGCCAGACAAAGACGGTTCTTGCCCCAGAACGCTCAGAGTTAAGAAAAGAGTCAACAGATGACTAGACAAGAGAGGTGAGGTGTGGTGTGGTGTGGTGGGGGCCGAGGTAATGGTTATCACAGGCGCTGGACTCTGACCCCTCCTGGTCTCTTCAGGTGCACCTCCCTCAGGTCTTGGGCCTCTCACCATCATCTCTGGCTTGGGGTGGAGGTTCTCCCCTTCACAGTTGGCACCTAGGCCTTGTCTGAGATCACCTCAGCAGATCTGAGTTCTTGGCAGTGCCTACATGCTGTTTGTTCCTTCCGGGAGCTAGGACAGCCGCCACCAAACAGCAGTATTTATTTAGAACAAAAGCATTTCAGAGAAAACAGACCTTAAAGCAATAAACAGTCTAGACAATCGGCGGCCTTTGCCTAGGGCTTCCCATTCTCTGGAAGGATCCAGCTCTTCGCAGAGCCACCCTGTCCCCCTGGCAGCCCCTGACAATTGCCCTCCCACCCCCGCCCATATAGCTTTTTAACTGTTTAATGTTCTCTTGATCTCTCTGTTCCCAGCATTGCAGAAGAGCTGCGTCTCTTTGTTAGAGACAAGATATAGGATGCTCAAAGTGAATAGGTTTCCCCGTTGTCTTTCAGTTGCCCCCCCCCGGTTTGTTTCGCGGTTGCGTATCTGGACCCAGAGTGTTGTTTCCCTGCTTATTTTTCCCACAGCCGCTTATTACGCTAGAACAGAACATTGCATACTGGCTTACCAGACATTCCTGTATTAATCACATCACCTCGCTGACCATGTCTCATACAGTGTTCTTAACATTATTACAGCTCTGTATTCTTCGATTATTACATGCCCGTCGAACAGTAAAAACAGATATGGTTGCAGATGTAGCCTTGCTCGTCAAAGGAGATGCCAAGCTCTCTGCTCCACATTTCTGTGTGGATGTGTGTCTGCATCTCTCTTGGTGTATTTTCTCTCCAAGTAATACGGGATACATAATGGGTGGGATATGAAGGTTTTATTTACAGGAGTCTGGGGTGGCTGCCTTATGCATCCTCCTTGGAGCCTCAAAGAGTTGCAAAATTTTGGTTCCAAAATTGGTCCCAAGTGCAGGACTGAATCTCGCCCATCCTGGAACTCAGGCTGTTTTTGAGAGGGGAACTGAGGGGAAGAGAAGGAAATCTTTCTCTGGCAAGTTGATTATCAAAAGAAGAAAAGGTGCTGTTTGAAGCTGATCAGAAGTTTGGCTTGTATACCAGGTCACCACACACACTGTGCTTCCTCCTTCAGGTTCGTTAAGAAGAGCAGGATTATTTGAATTCAGATGTGAATATCATACGCCGCTTACTGC